AGCTCCATTCTCTAATGCAGTACAACCAGAAGGAAGCAAACAATTCCCAGTTCCCTCCCTCTCAGGTATGGAACACCTTTGTAACTTTCTAACCTGTCTGTAAGCTGCCAAAGGGAATTGTTTCAATTTCACCTGACAGTGCTTAGAGGAGGAATGGTGGCACAGTTTGGATCTCAGACTAGCAGAAGCTATTGAAAGCAGTGATAGGCCCCATGGTGCATGAAAGCTGCAGTGGGATTCTATCCCTGGTACATGATATTACAGTAGAAGATTATGATAGAATATGTTTAAGGCCCTGAGAAGACACTGAAATGAGACTCTTTGGGAAATTAAGACATTTAAAAGCACACACATATACACAGACCCAGGCAGGACATATGACCAGAAATGACCAAAGTAGGTTTTAATCCTTACCCTGATCTTCTCCCAAGACTTAAGATATACCCTGCTAATTAATGTGTGTTTTCCATACTAGCTTGCAAAGACTAGAAGTGGCTATTTTATCAAGTGGCCAATTTTTTTTTTTTTTACAACAAAACAAAACAAAAACATCAGACATTTAAAGAAAGAGGAAAACCTAGTACAGTCAGAGGAACAAAATCTCCAGAAACTATCCCTGAAGAAACATGGGCATAGGACTTAGGTGACAAATAGTTTAAAACAACTGTCCTAACTCTAAGAGCTGAATGGAAACTATGGACAAAGACATAAAGAAAATCAGGGAAACAATATATAAACAAAATTAGAATATCAGCAAAGAGATAGAAATTATATATAAAAAAATAACAAAGCAAAAACTCGGAACCTGACAAATACAATTACTGAATGTAAGCAACAACAACAACAAAATCACTGGAAAGACTGATCATATTCAAACAGTCAGAACAAGGATCAGGAAACTTGAAGACAGATCTGAGGACAAATAACAACAACAACAACAACAATGAAACAAGCAAAACAAACAAAACAAAACAAAACCAAAAAACCCACCAAAACAACAACAGCAAAAACCAAAACCAAAACATCAAAGAAAAATGAACATAGCTAAAGGAATTTATGGGACATATCAAATAGACTGAAATACATATTATAGGAATCCAAAAGAAGAGAGAGTAAAGGACAGTTACTTGAAGACATAATGACTGAAATAATAACGACCCAAATTTGGGAAAAGACATGAATATACAAATACAAGAAGCTTCACAAACTCCAGGTAGGATAAACCCAAAGTGACTTATGCTGAGACATGTTACCAAGTTTTAGAAAGTTAAAGACAAAGGGAATGAGAACCTTGAAAGCAGCAAGAAAAAAAATGACTTGTAATGTACAAGGGATCCCCAGTAAGAATACCAGCAGATTCTCAACAGAAACTTTATAGGCCAAAAGGCTGTGGAATGATAGATTTAAAGTACCAAAAGGAAAAAAAAATCAACCAAGAGTTCTGTATCAGGCAAAACCGTCGTTTAGAAATGAGGGAGAAATTAAGACAACAGAAGCTGAGTTTGTTATCACTAGACCTGCCCTACGAGAAATGCTAAAAAGAGACTTTCAAGTTCAAATTAAAGGACTCTTAACAGTAACTCAAAGCCATATGAGAATATAAAATTCTTAAATATAAAAACCAGTATTACTTTAATTTTGGTTTGTAAGTCTACTTTTTATAGGATTTAAAACACAGGGGTGCATGGATGGCTCCATTGGTACAATATGCAGTTCTTGCTCTTGGGGTGTGTAGAGATAACTTGAAAATGAATCTTTAAAAAAGAAAAAAAAATCTTTAAAAAAGAAATAAAAGACAAATGCATAAAACTATAAATCTATGTTAATGAATAAATGATATGTAAAGGTTTAATTTTTGACATCAGTCACACTGGAAAATCCACAGATATGTTGAAATTAAATGGGGCCCCTAGGCAGTTCAGTCATTTAGGTGTCTGACTTTTGATTTCAGCTGAGATCATGATCTTGGGGTTTTGAGATGAAGCCCTGAGTTGGCTCCACTCTGGGCATAAAGCCTGCTTGGGATTCTCTCTCTCCTTCTTCTGACCCTCCTCCCCCTCTTGGCTCCCTCACCATCATCTAGCCCCACTTGTGCATGCTCTCTCTTCAAAAAAAAAAAAAAAAAAATGATGGGTGCCTGGGTGGCTCAGTTGGCTAAGTGCCCCAACTCTTGATTTCAGCTCAGGTCATGATATCTGGGCTGTGAGATTGAACCCCAAGTAGGGCTCCACATGGGTGTGGAGTCTGCTTGGGATTCTCTCTCTCCCTCCCTTTGCCTCTCCCCCACTTCACTTCATACTCTCTCTCTCTAAAGTAAATAATTTTAAAAAATTACACTCTCAAACAACCACTCCTAAACAGTACACTCTTAAACAACCAATGGGTTATGAAAGAAATCACAAGAGAAATTAGCAAATATCTTGGGAAAAATGAAAATGAAAACACAGTGTATTAAAACTTATGGTAAAAAGTGAAAGAAGTGCAAAGAGAAATTTATAGCAGTAAACACATTTCAAAAAAAGGGTCTGAAATCAACACTCAAACCTTATACCTTAAGGAACTAGAAAAAGAAGAACAAACTAAACCCAAAGCTAGCAAAAGGAAGTTAATAAAGATTAGATCAGAGATAAATGAGGGAGTAAAAGACAGGGGGAAAAAAATTAACAAAACCAAGAGATTTTTTTTTCAAAATGATCAACAAACTTGACAAACCCTTAGCTAGATTGACTAGGAAAAAAAGAAGACTGAAATAACTAAAATCTGAAGGAAAGGGGGACATTACTATTGATTTTACAGAAATAGAAAGGATTGTAAGACAGTACTATAAACAGTTGTACACCAACAAATTGGATGACCTAGATGAAATGGACAAATGCCAAGAAACATAACTTACCAAGACTGAATCACGAAGAAGTAGAAAATATGAATAAACCTTACAACTAATAAAAAGATTGAATCAGTCATCAAAATGCCAACAAACAAAAACCAGGACCAGATGGCTTCACGGAGGGATTCTACCAAGCACTTAAAAAAGAATTAATACCAAACCTTCTGAAGCTCTTACTAAAACTTGAAGAGAAAGAAACACTTCCCAGCTTATTCTGTGAGGCCAGCATTACCCTGACACCAAAACCTTTATGGGGTAAGCACTATTATCATACCCACTTTACATGTGAGAAAGGTGCGGCACAACAAATTGAAGTAACTTGTTCAAGGTCAGAGCCAATGATTTCAAGATCTGAATTCACATACCCTGACTTGCAGAGCCCACACATTAACCAGCCTCTCTCCACTGACAGCTGTAAAGGAAAATAATCAAATGAAAGCCACAGAGAAATCTCTCTCTCTCTCTCTCTTTTTTTTTTTTTTTTGAATCTTAGCAACATTTGTCTTAATTTTTTTCTTTTTCATCTGGGCCATTAAGACCTAATATCCTATTTATCCCAGGGTACTATGTTTTCATACTCAAGTTTAAGTTAGTTGCCAATAAAACTAAATGAACAGCATTTCTCTTTCCCTCCCTGCCCTTCACTTGACGCTGGCAGGAGGAATCAAGGAGAGAAACGAAGGTCTAGACCTCCATACTGTAACAGTTCCCCAACACTTGTTTTCGTAGTAAGAAGACCATCACTTAACATATCTCTTCTTAATGGACCTAGAAACTGATGAAGCATAGGTCCAAAGTAACATGTGATAAGGTTTTTATCTGTGTAGATTAAAGAATATGTATTCTAACAGAATCTGTCCTATTCACCAGTTGACTGAGCACACATCCAAAAGCCGTTTCCTTAGATCCATTAAAAGAAAGTTTTAAGACTCCATTCCACTGTGAGAGAGAAAGGGATTGTGAGTCCCTCTGTATTTGGGCTGCAGGATGAAAGTGAGAAGGAAGTAACTTACCCTGGCTGTGCTGAGCTGCAGGATCCCCCATTCCCCTCTGCAGGTGCAAGGTTTTCGGGGCCCCGGGATACTCTTTAGTAAAGCCCTTTTCTATGAGGAGCAGTGAGTGAAGGAGGCAGAGAGAGAACGAGATACAACAACACAGAGTGACTTTACAAGGTCAAATTAAATTTCCCCCAAGTTTTATCAGTTTCAAGCATGAGGCGGTATGGCCTTGCCCCTGATCCTCACTGCCCAGCCCATGACTGTAACAAATGTTTAGAAACAGGTGACTTGGGGCACCTGGGTGGTTCGGTCAGTTAAGCATCTGCCTTCAGCTCAGGTCAGGATCCAAGGATGCTGTGATCCAGTCCTGATGGGGCTCTCTGCTCAGTGGGAAGTCTGCTTCTCCCTCTGCCTGCCCCCTCCTCCTGCTCATACTCTCTCTCTCTCTCTCTCTCTCTCTCTCAAATAAATAAATAAAATCTTAAAAACAAACAAACAAACAGGTAACTTCATTCATAGCATCCAATAAAGCCTTTACCTGAGAGAAGCTCCCAGGCCTAGACCTACATTAACCAGTATGGTAAATCAGGTTATTGTTTTAAATAGCACTATGGTCCATGTCAAAATACCTGGGGTGCTAGTCAACTGAATGATTCAGTCAGACAGGAATCTCTGTGAAATTAAGGCTGCAAATTTGCACTTTCCCCTCCCCCATTTTAAACAATTTCATTGAGATACATATAATTAACATACAATGAACTGTGCCTACATTTCTTTCTAAATTAAAATTTTAGTAACAGCGGTGCCTTCGTGGCTCAGTCTGTTAAGCTTCTGCCTTCAGCTCAGTTCATGATCCCAGGTGGGATTGAGCCCCACATGGGGCTCCCTGCTCAGTACTTGTCCCTCTCCCTCTGTCCCTCCCTCTCTACCTCCTCCCCCTGCTTTCTCTCCTCTGTCTCTCACTCTCTCTCTCTCTCTCTCTCTCTCTCAAATAAATAAATAAATAATCTTAAAAAATATTTTAGTAACATTCCATTTTTCTATCCTAGAGCTATCTCCTGAACCCAAGTTGTTTCATTTGATTTTTGTTGGTTTTGTTTTTAATCTTTTTACAGAGCATATAGGATTGGGCAGTGCAGGGATGTGAAAGTATTTAGGCTGATATCTTTGGGAACTGTGGAGGAAATCATGTACTTACGACAGGTATACAAACAGGTAAATATATTTCCCTTTTCCTAATTAAGAAGTAAACATTTATCTATTTCAAAAATTTCAGAAATTTGTGTAAAAATATGTTTCTCATTTTATTCTAACTATAATATGGAATTTAATATTATGAAATATATTTCCAAATATATTCTGTAAAACAGATGGATTCTTACATTCATTGAAATTCAGAGCTGAAATTTTCTTTGAGTAGTACTTCTTAAGTTTTAATGTGTACATAAATTATGTAGGGATCTTTAAACTATGGATTCTGATTTAGTAGCTCTGGGTGCAGCCCAGGATTTTTAACAAGCTCCCAAGAGTACCAACACTACTATAGATCACAATTTGTTTAGCAAGGTCACAGCTTCCCTCCCTGTGGGTCAAGACGTGACTATATGCCACAGATGGGAGACAGGTGCACTGACACATTGATCTCACAGCTCTCTGGGCAGCAAGATTACCTAAACCAACTTCCAGCCTTAAGAAACCTTTCCAGGTAAGTGTTCATTTTACTGTTTTCTGTAGGTACCATTGCATGAAGACGACTAAGGGGAAAATCCCTTACACATATCTAATGCAACCATTTCATGTCGTACATAATGAAACTGGGACTCAGGGACACCCAAGTAAATGGAATAACAGGAATAGCCCTCAAGTGTACTAACTGCTCTGCTGCTGCTTTTAGTGTTCATCTGAAATTCTATTAACTCTTTAGTATCTTTAGGGTATCAATTACCTCACCATTTATGGCTCTAAATAAACAAAATGTATTTAGTTTATAATTGCTCACTTGAGAAGATCTGGAATGAGTTTCAAGTTTAATTATAAATGTTAAATTTGAGTTACTCCCTATATATTCCCGTTGGCATCTATTTAAGAGCAAACATCTGCCACATGTGGTGGTAGTTAACCTAAGAATGATCCAATCTTAAATTCATGCTGTTTTCTTAATTCTAAAAATAGAATTGTACACAGCAGTTTTTGTTTTTTCTTAAGGCAACTTAGCTGTATAAGAAACCTTTCATCTTTTTGTTCTTTGGTATAGCACAACTACTTGAACCTTATTTTGTTCAGATATATTTAACCAGTGTTGGAAAAAAGTAGAACATGACTCTCTTCATCTTAGGAGCAGTTTTTTAGAATACTGTCTTAGACTTGTCACAATCCAGTGTGATTTTTGTCCCTTTTCTATATATATGTAGTAATTTTCTCTCTTTATATATATATGTGTATATATATATACATACATATATAATACTATTACTTCAGAAGATGAGGATAATGTCCATTATCAGAAGTTTGTATGCTCTACTTGGTTATTAAAATATTTTTAAGCATGAGCCCTTTAGGAAAGATTCAGCCATACAATTTAGTAGGCACAGATCAGGATAATAATGGCAGTTGTGTGAGGAAAAGGCAAGAGATGTGATTTAAAGGTTGATTGGCATTTGAACAAAGAGTGTATATGATATACACATTCTAGCTAGCTTTCTGAGTATTCCTCAAATTCCTTGGGGAAAAAGAAATCCAAAAGTGATTTTTAAAAATTTTATTTATTTATTTAAGAGAGTGAGAGCAAGTGTGCAGGAGTGAGGGGAGGGCCAGAGGGAGAGGGAGAGAGGAAATCTCAGGCAGACTCTGCTCAGAGCATGGAACCCCATGTGGGGCTCAATCCCACGCCCCTGAGATCGTGACCTGAGCTGAAACCAAGAGTCAGACACTAAACCAACTGAACCACACTAAACCAACTTAAACACCAAAAATGATGTTTAAAAAAACTATAAAAATTTTAGAAAGTAAGAAGAGTTCTATTTGTGGCCCAGAAGTTATAAGGAACCCTAAAAGACAAAAGGCATTTGGACATCAGATTGAAGGAAGAAGCCAAGCTAAACTCAGAAAGAAACTATTAAAAAAGGTAGGTACAGCTTCTGGATATTCCAAGTTAGAGCCAGCAGATACTAAAAAAAAGGGCAGGGAGTCCTAGGGTGACTATGATGCCCCCTCTTTGGGTTATAATTGATGATCTAACAAGATGGGTTAGCTCCGTACAATCATACCCCAATTGCAGCAAATTATAGCCAACAGTGGTGTCTGCTCTCAAGTAGAAACAATAAATAGAAATACTAGAAGCAAAGAAGCAAGACAGCGCTCCATATTTTGCTGAAATTGAGAAGAAAGTCCCTCCTGTTGCCCAGCAGTTTAAATACTTGCATTTCCCCTGCTCTGAATGATCACTGCAATAGGCTGAGATAAGAATGTAGGGTATTTGAAGACAGATGAATACCCAACAAAAAAATAATTGTTGAACAGTTTAAGAAAAGAAACACTATGAAAATGTTCCTTAAAGATACCAAGTCCTAATCTCTGGAATCTGTAAATGTTACTTTATGTGGGAAAAAAAGGGTCTTTGCAGATGTGATTAAGGATTTTGCAATGGGGGGGATTAGCCTGGATTAGCCAGGTAGGTTCTTAAAAGGTTCTTATATAAGGTTCTTATAAGAAAGAAGCAAGGGGAAATCTGACACAGGAGAAAACAATGTTACCACAGAGGCAGAGAATGGAGTGATGTGGTCACTTGCTAAGTGACCCCCAGCTGCCAGCATTCCTTAGCAAGTGACCACATCACTCCATTCTAGAAGAGGCAAGGAATGGATTCTCCAATAGAGTACCTGCAAAGAGCATGGCCCTGCCAAAACCTGGATTTCAGCCGGTGATACTGATAACAGACTTCTGGACTTCAGAACTGTAAGAGTAAATTTCTTTTAATTTAAGCCACCAAGTTTATAATTTGTTACAAGAGCCATCAGAACTATCTTAGGCATTCAAAAAGGAGAAGAGGAAGAGGAAGAATTAACATCAGAGAAGACAAAAATTAATAGAAAAGAATAAAATAAATGTTTAAAAATATATAAGTAATATTTTCAAAACATGACTGAGGGGATGCCTGCATGGCTTAGTCAGTAAAGTGTCTGACACTTGAGTTTGGCTCAGGTTGTGATCTCATTGGTCATGGTATCAATCAAGCCCCAAGACTGCTCTGCACTCAGCAGGCAGTCTGCTTGGGGATCGTCTCCCTCTGCCCCTCCACTCTCTCAAATAAATAGATATTTAAAACAACAACAAAAAGGTGAGTGAGGTTGTTGGATGTTAGAAATAAGAACAGACTAATAGAAAAAGAATCCATTAACATCCAGAAAATGAAGAACTCCCAAATGTTTTCATCTAAAAGAGAGAACTAAACAATTGTTCTAGATTACAGAGCAAAAAGACAAAGAATACATGTAAGAAACGTTAGGAGAAATGAATTCTAGGTCCAGAAGTTCTAATATCAGTCTTATAGTTGAAGAGGGGAATAAAAGGAAGGGAAAGAAAGAAACTCAAAATAAAGGAAGAAGCATATAAAAAGTGGAAAACAAGAGTCCAGGAATTATATAGGTCCATATAATTACATGAGTGCTAAACAGGATGGATGAAAATGGATCCACACTTACACCATCTTTCTATTATTATAAAACACCAAGGATAAAGTGAAAAGTCCTTTAAATTTCCAGAGATGAACCTTCTGCAGAGAAAAAAACATTACCTATAATACTACTAGGATAAGATAAATATCTAACTTCTTATTAGTGATTCTGGATACTTAGGAGCAGTGATTTCAAATGAGGGAAAATGATGCCTTATATTGTCAGAGAAAGTGAATTTTTAATTCAAACCTTTCTCATAGAACAAGATCCTAACCTAGATAACTTCCACAGTGAATTCTATCAAACAATATTCTTTTTGAAAACAAAGGAGGAGGGAACACTTATAACTTTAGAAAGATAAAAAATTGTTGATACCAACATTTGGCAAAGATATTACAAGAACAGAAAATTATAGACCAATATCTCTTATGAGCATGAATGTAAAAATCTTTAACAAAGTCTCTGTTAGAAGTTGAATTATGTGCTCCCTCCAAAAAAAAAAAAAAAAATATGTTAAAGCCCTACCCCTATGTGTAACCATGAAGGGGTCTTATTTGGAAGTAGGATCTTTGCAGATGTAATCAAGTTAAAAAGAGGTCATACTTGATTAGGGTGGGCCCTAATCCATGACTGATATACTTACAAGAGGGAAATTTGGATACAAACTGACACTGAGGGAGAATGACTTTGATGAAGGAGGCAAAGATTGGAGTGATGCAGTTTGAGACCAAGAATGCCAAGGATTGCCAGGAACCAAGGGTCTTCACTTGGAACCTTCAGAGAGAGTGTGGTCCTGCCACCATCTTGATTTCAGACTTTAGCCTCCAGAACTGTGAGAGAATCAATTTCTGTTGTTTTAAACCATCCAGATTGTGGCAATTTGTTACAGCAGCCATAGGGAACTAATACAGCCTCAAAGGCCAATATTGTAAATTTAACTACATTTTTATGTGAAACTTCTGTATGACAAAGGACCTAGAAGCCAAATTAAAAAATGTCTAGGACATCATTAGTTTTTGATGTAGTGTTCAGCAATTCATTATTTGCACCCAGTGCTCCTCAGCACACATTGCCTCCTTAATAATTATATGCTGGATAATTGAACATAATAATAAAAAAATTAAAATAATTTTTAGAAACAAGAAATCAGAAAATACCACATGCATATTATTAAAGACAGAACTAAGAAATAGAATAAAATACATGAGTATGAACCAAGAAATGATCTTGTATATGCCCTTTTTAAATGTCTAGATAATCAATATAAAGAGATTTTTGGGGGGAGGCTGGGTGGCACAGTGGGTTAAGTGTCTGACTGTTGGTTTCAGTTCAGGTTGTGATCTCAGGGTCTTAGGATCACGCCCTGCATTGGGCTCCACAGTCAGGGTAGAGTCTCTCTTTCTCTTTCTCTCTTTCTCAAATAAATAAATCTTTAAAAGAAAAAAAAAAGTGTCTAGAAGGAAAATTTCCATGTATAAGGTAAACAAAGGATCAGCATCTTTAGTACATAAAGAACTTCCACAAACCTATAAAAAGACAATGATCAGGCATTTTACTTAAGGTAAAATACAAATGGTTAATGCATATATGAAAAGATGCCTAACCACAGTTATAATCTAGAAATATAAAATAAAACAATGCTGTGTTATGCACATTCTGCTAAAACTTTCTTGTGTATGGGTTTTGTTTGGGGGGCGATTAGGGATATAGGGAGATTGGCACTTTTCATTGTTGGTGGGAGTATTTGTGAAGAGGTACTCATATTATTTTTGAGAATATAACTTGGTCCTTTTATTTTATAGGCAAAGTTATCATTTTAAAATACATAGCACCTTCTCCTTATTTGTCTGACAGAAATACTCTCATATACAAACAGTGAAGGATGACAAGGATTATATTCAGCAGTTAGTATTTGTTTAAAAAAATAAAAAAAAAAAAAGAAACCGCCTAAATGTCCTGTAGTAGCAGAATGATAACATCAGTTCTGATGCATGCAACAGAAAAAAATTATAGAGCAGATGTACTGACCTGGCAAGACTGCTAAGACATTCTTAGATGGGACCAAAAAACCTGACTTGCAGAACAAGTAAACCAATTATGTTGATGCATGAAGTTATTTCTGTGTGTATATATAAACAGCTCTTATTGCATTGAGAAAGATCTAGAAGGATATACCTAAACATTACAGTGTTTCTAAGACTGATAGAGGATGATCTGTATTATTCAAGGGGGACTTTAACTTTGATATTTTGTTTGCATTTGTTGTGATAATGCATTAAGACATTTTATACTTTTAAAAAATAAGACACTTACAAAAAAACTGTACTCCTTCATGTTTGGAGCATTTCATGTATTCTAAATTCACGTTAATTTCTGAATACCACATTTTAGGTTACATGAAATCCTCTAAACAAGAAGAAGTATGAGTGTGTGTGTGTATGTGTGTGTATGATGTGTGTGTATATATCCACATCCATACAAAATATGTATATGTATGTATAGATACAGAAATATATACATATACAGAAATATATACATACAAATATATATATGTATGCATGTATATGTATATATACACAAAGATGAAGAAGTACATATATATATATGAAAGGTGACTAGATACATATAATTTAGACATACATTTGTAGATGCAGAAGAATTGTAAAAATAGCTCAAAGAACATCCAATTAGGGGCACCTGGGTGGCTCAGTCATTAAGCGTCTGCCTTCGGCTCAGGTCATGATCCCAGGGTCCTGGGATCAAGCCTCACATCAGGCTCCCTGCTACTCCCTCTCCCCCTCCCCCTGCTTGTGTTCCCTCTCTCACTGTGTCTCTCTCTGTCAAATAAATGAATAAAATCTTAAAAAAAAAAAACACCCAATTAACATCACCTAATTTCCCCAGTTGTTAACATTTTATCATATTTGCTTTTCTCTTTCCTTCAGTCATGATCTTTATTTTTCTTAACCATTTGAGAGAAAGTTGCAGATTTATCACTTCTAGTTCTCTAGTGTGTATTTCCTTCAAAGAAGGACACTCTTCTATTTATATGCACATAAAGAAATAGTTCTATGCATATAAATACTCAGTTCTATGTGCTGTTCTGCACTTGCTTTTCCCCCTCTCCTCTCCAGAATGTAGTTATCCCAATCAAAAAACTAACATTGATACAACATTATCTTGTAATCCACAAAACTCATTCAGATTTCACCAATTTTCCTGGCAATTTCTTGTCTCCTTTTTCTTTTATGGTTCAGGATCCAAACCAGGATCGTGGTTATAGAGTATTTCTTTTCATGTCTCTTTAGTTTTCTTTAACCTAGAGTAGTTAGTTACCCAAGCTTGCCCTATCTTTCATGACCTTCACAGTGTTAAAGAGTAAGGCCTTTCCTTGTGTTAGCTCACCTTTAAAGTAGGTCCACTTGATGTTTCCTCATGTCCAGACTCAAGCAAGAATAGTTCAGAAACAATTCTGTGCTGTTCTCATTGTATTGGTCAAAAGGCACCTGGTGGTGACATTTATTTCCATTCAGTTTCATGTCTGTTAGCTTTCTTCACTGCACTCACCATTTTTTCCCTTTATAATTTATAAATATTTTATGGGAACATCCTCTGAGACTTTGCCAGTATTTCTGTTCCTTGTTAAGCCTGTACCCATCAGCCTTAGCGTTCATTGCTAATTCCCACCTGAATCAGCTACACTATGATGATTGTCAGATAGTGACTTAAATTTCCATTATTCCTTCTTCTTTGTTCCTATTCTACCGTAAAAAAAAGAGTTTCCCTTTTTGTCTATATATTTATTTAACCTATATGGACTCATAGGATCCTGTATTAGTAATAGCTTACAACCTGTTGAATTTCACTGTATATTTTGATGTTAAAACAGTCTCACTTTGGTCCAATGAGAACCCCTTCAAGGTGGGTTCTGTGCCATTTTGTCAAGCATCCGTCATTCTTTTTACACATCCTTCCTATGATCGGCTGAATGATGTTCCCCCAAGGATGTCTATATCCTAATTCCACAAACCCACCTGGATTCTCTGGGTGAGCCAATGTAATCACTGAAGGAAGCAGTTGGGAGGAGGTTAAGAAAAAGGAGAGAAGGAGGAGATGTGATGGCAGAAGCAGAGGGTCAGGATGATATGAAGATGCCACGCTACTAGCCTTGAAGATGGAAGAAAGAGTGATGGTTCCTTAGCATGGTGAACGTGACTTCTTTTCTTTCTACCTCTTGTACATCCTGTACATTGTTATGAGGAAATCCAAACATTTTCTAGCCTCAAATGGGTTTTTCTTAAGCCAGAAACTGAGCTACATTTTCCAATTACTGATTTTTTATCTCCTCACCTCTTTAATTCTAACATTATTTTCTTAGAGCAGCCTATAGATGGTTGTATCTGACCTTCACTTTTAACTGGAGCCACTTTGAAAAACTTATTTTACATACAAAATAGTGTGCCTTTTATAAATTTTGTGGTAAAACTATGGTAGGGAATTTTTTTTTTGCATAAATGATGAGATTTTATTCTGCAAGTCAAATATTTCAACAATTTTCTTCTTCTTTTTTTTAAATTTCTTTTCAGCGTAACACTATTTATTGTTTTTGCACCACACCCAGTGCTCCATGCAATACGTGCCCTCCCTAATACCCACCACCTGGTTCCCCCAACCTCCCACCCCCTGCCCCTTCAAAACCCTCGGGTTGTTTTTCAGAGTCCATAGTCTCTCATGGTTCATCTCCCCTTCCAATTTCCCTCTACTCCCTTCTATGGTAGGGAATTTATAAAGATGCATATTAATGCTTAAAAGTTACTTTGGCAATTCTATTTAGTAGTTTGCAGTCTGACAATACAGTGTTTAAGGGAGAATCAGTACTAAAGTATAAAATCATCAACCAGACCATAAGGAACATCAGTTGCTATGGCAATTCATTTTTCCCAAACTATAGCCTATGTTTCTGGAATACTGATACCAACTGATCCAACTTGGATACTGATCCAAAGCTTCCTCAAACTAAGTTCCTAAGGGTCTTGTTTTAAAAGGGACATCCTGGAGATGGGAAGTTGTTACAAGTATAAATTTTGAATTTAGCCAAATCAGGTATAAATTCTAGAAATGACACTTCCTATCTGAGCAGCTATGAGAAGACACTTAATTTCTCTAAACTTAAGTCTTTATTTCTAAAAGGGAGATCATAATGTCTTATAGGTAGATATTAAATGAGAGAATGTACAAATATTACACAGGTAGTAAGTATTCAATAAATAACAGCTATTATTAATAAGAATTATTTTAGTTGCCTAGAGTAATGTATTACAGTACAAATTAACTTAAATCACAATATGGTATCACTTCTTACTAATCCTTACATCAATGATAGACTGAAGTTCTTTTCTGCTCTTTGTTTCTGTCTTTGTTTCTTCCAAGAAATTTTAAAGGTGTATACGGAGTTAATCTGATTATATTTACATTGCATTTAGTAAAATATCTAGCAAATAAAGAAATACACTATTGTTGTTACTAAAGTGTGGTATATGTCCATCAGGGTTCCTTCTATATTCAAAAGTGTTTCAAAGATGCAATGTTCTAAACACGATTGGGTTTTGCTGTTAGTTGACAATATAACGATGGCCAATTAGTTAGACAGCAGCATAGTTATCATGTAGTTACTTAGGTTGAATTTAACTTTGGTGAATTAGTGATATTTTTGTCAGTCTTAGTAGTTCCTGTTGTAATGAGCCTGGAAAGGTGAAAAGTATATTCAAATGTATGATTTTATCATTAAACATTTTACATCAAGTGAATATTACATAGTGATGGGTTCTCGACTCAGTTGGTAGAAAACAGATAAATTGGAAATGTAGGATCTCTTCAATAAGACTGGCCCAATTACTATTATTTCACCATAATGGCAACATCTGCCAGGGAAATTAAAATAAAATTTCCTCCCTAAGGAGACTCTGCCTGCTCCAGCTAAAGCTGTGTATATACAGGGAATGCCAGGAAATTCTGACATATTGTTGGAGCAAACACTTCAAAAATATCTTGTGTTTTTTCTGTTTTAGCAACTTCACTGTGTGGTGGTTGGAAGTGAAAACGCCAAGCGATATTTTGAAGCAGTTCAAGGATCAAAAGAGCATCGAGGAGAGCTTTTTGGGGTCTATAATCTCTTCAAACTAAGGTCCCAAGGGTCTTGTCTTACAAGGGACATCCTTGAGGTGTGAAATTGTTCCCTGACCTTTTCAGTAATATTTTAAATACAGTTTTCTCCCTCAGCAAATTTGAAATACAATTGCTGGTACCTTTTCAGAGGAATTTGGGGTTTTCTTAGTAAAAAATGCCTTGTGTTTAGAATTTTGACTTTTAGAAAAATAGGAAGTGAATTATTGTACCTCTAAGCTAAGATTTCCCCATGCGTAGTTGTAAATAAGGTATACACACACAGATACATACAGTAGATAATATGATCTCCAAGACCATTTTCAGACTGGCAAAGAGAAATATATTATTTTGAAAACAGCTGCTAAAGTCAGAAACTAAAAAAAAAAAAAAAGAGAGAGAGAGAGAGAGAAAGACACTTTCCTAAATAAACAAAAATATAAAATGTGTTTTGATTAAAAGTTACCAAATACTCCCTGAGATGCACTCTCATGTCTCATGGACATTTTTGTTTTCTGTTCCCAATAAAAATTCCACACCAATATTTCAAACTCTTCAGTTGTGTTCATCCTCAGCATACAGATGTTTCTTATTCTTCAAACAGAAATTTCTATCTTTTTTTTTTAAATCGCTTAAATTCTTTGATATGTCAGGATACTAAGGGTATTAGTCTGTTTTCTAGTTGATACTGATAGGAGTATTATAAAATCCTGGAATAGCATCTTTTTCAATCCCCTAATCATATAGATGAGGAAAATGAGCCTCAGAAAACTCAAAGATATTTCCCTTAACCTCCAAGACTTTGTAGTAAGACCTTCATGTACTTCACTGATTTAGTCAGTTTCATAAAAACAGGTCAAGAACAATTGGTCCCTGCCCTTAAAGAACTTAGATCATCTTGATGAGAGGTGGACGAGAACACTTACATAATGAACATGTAATATCAGTAAGTATGTTAAGCAAGATGGCTAAGAGGAAGACATGTATTGTGTATATCCTGTGAATATTGCAACTATTATACAGTGTCTGATGTATACTGCTGAATTTTTATTTTATAGTAACTATTTGGTTTGAATTGAGTGGCCCATTTGAAGTTCCCCTGTCCTGGGACGCCTGTCTGGGTTAGTTGCAAGAGCATGCAACTTTTGATCTCAGGGTTGTGAGTTCAAGTCCCATGTTGGGTGTAGAGATTACTTAAAAATAAATTTAAAAAAATAAAATTAGATCCCCCTGTCTTTTCCTTGAATATGCCATCTCTTTCAGGGACTTGTTCTTTCCCATTCCTTTTTTATAATCAGTAACCTTGTTAGTATTCCAGGCTCCCCTCAAATCCTACTTCCTTCTCAGAGTAATACCTAATATACCAACTATATTGGTGTTTCTCATTTGAAATTATTATCTATAAAGCATGTTAGCAATATATGACTTATCCCTTTTTCTCTCATTTATCAAATATTTGAGTCTATATTAGAATAGCAGCCTATTGGGGCGCCTGGGTGGCTCAGTGGGTTAAAGCCTCTGCCTTGGGCTCAGGTCATGATCCCAGGGTCCTGGGATCAAGCCCCGCATTGGGCTCTCTGCTCAGCGGGAAGCCTGCTTCCATTCCTTTCTCTCTCTGCCTGCCTCTCTGCCTACTTGTGATCTCTGCCTGTCAAATAAATAAATAAAATCTTAAAAAGAAAAAAAACAATAGCAGCCTATTTCTTAAGCAAATGTTAGGTAGGACACTCAGTATGACAAGTTATTAAGTGGAAAGTTCTTTTCTGGTTGTCCTAAGTATATCTTGTTTCTCCTCCAGGACTGTTTATTAATGACAGGACTCTCCATGTCTTATATCTTGTTTGTGGTAAAATATGCTTCTTACTAGGCACATTACCAGCATCCCAATATTAAATTAAATTTTGAATTAAAATTGCTCATTTGTTATCAGCCAGAATTTAAAATTATTCAAGCCAGGTGCTTACAGGCTAGAATAAATATCTCTTCCCCTAAAAAAATAAAGAATAATAATAATTATTATCATTATTATTATTATTCAGGCATGGTTAGATTCATGCTGCTTTTGGCCAAACAATGTTTAAAATACTATTATTCCAAGTCCTATATAATGGAAGCATATATCACAAAGTAAAAGAATTATTTCACTTCCTATAATACATTTTTAATTTTTAAAGGTTATAGAAAATTCCTTTTAAAATGTTTTAAGACATAGACATTTTCATATAGAGCACTTTTAATCTGATGATTTCCAGGCTATTTGGTTTTACTTTGCACTGACTTGATTATCTATATTTATATCATGGTCTCCCTTTAGAGAGTTAATTTCACAAATGTCTACTGAGTATATGCTAAATGTCAGCTAGCACACATCATAGAGCTAGGCATACAAAAATGTAAAAATAGACAAAAAGCCCTACCTACAAAAAATTTACCTTCTATTTTGGGGAAACAAATAATAAACCAAAAAAAAAAAAATGATATAGCCTATTATGACAATAGGCTCTAAGGATAAAAATAAAGCAGGTAGAAGATGAATGACTTCTGGAGATCTAATGCCCAGTGTCATGATTGTTGTCAAAACTGCTAATGGAGTGGATCTTAAATGTTCTCACTACCCAAAAAAAAAAAAAAAAAAAAAAAAAAAATCATTCTGTGGCATGATAGAGATGTTAGCTAAAGCTATGGTGGTGACCATATTGAGATATATAAATGTATCAAAACATGCTGTACACCTTAGGTGTACATAATGTCATATGTAAATTATATTCTAATAAAAAAGAGAATAGAGCAGGGAAGGGAAACAGGAGGACTGTCATGGAAAGAGCATTGCAGTTTTAGCTGGAGTAGCCAAGGAAGGGCTCACTAGGAGGTTCCAATTGATTCTTTGAAGAGGTGAAGGAGGAAGATGTGTTTTACACAGAAGTACAAATACAAAAGCCCCGCAGAAGGAGCATGCCCAGCAGAATTTCCAAATGGCAGGAAAGCCAGAGTGGCTGGAGTGGAGTGAGCAAGAGAGCAAGAGAGGGGGCCAGAGAGATGACAGGAAGCCAGGTCACAGGGGCACTCTGATTTTGACTCTGAGTGAGACGAAAAGCAAGTAGAGGGTTCTGAACAGAAGAGAAACATAGTCTGACCTCTACAATCGAGATTAAATATGAAGAATTAGACTATAGAGGAAACATGAAAGCAGAAGGAAAATGCCAGGTAGGCCAATACTGCAATAATCCAGCCAAGAGATGATGGTGGTTCAGACCAGAGCGACAGTGGTGGATGGTGTGAGAACTGGCCGGATCCTGTATGTTACCTAGGTGGTGCTGGCAGGATTTGCTGGTGGATTAGATACAGGGTATGAGGAAAAAAGAGGCATTAAGGATGACTCCAAGGTGTTCGGCCTGAGAAACAGAAGACCAGAATGGCTGTTTACCTCTCACAAAGGGGTTCTGACAGGATTGAGGATTTCTGGCGCTGCCTGTTCCATCCGTAGTAGCCATCTGGCTTCAGAAAGGATAGATACAGTACTGGGATGGAGACCTCCCTGCCTCTGCCCACCCCCGCAGTAATTGCCTCTAAGCTCTGAAAGAAAAGATCTCAAAGAACTATTTATCATTCTCCACAGTTCTGGAAGGGAGATTCTGACCTGTTGCCCTGGATACCAGGTGGCTGGAACCATGCCATTGGTAGATATGTGTATTTGTAAGTTGGGCATCTGTAACTCTGGTGATGATAGTAGTATTTCCCCTTGTTCAGTCCATGAATAAAGTCTTAAAGGAGAAATAATTTGACTTCTTTTTGAAGGAGAATTTAATGGTCTAGAATCTAGGCCATTAAGTACCTTTGCGGAATGGTATATCAAAAGCTTTAAAAGAATAAATACTTTCCCAAATTATCTAACAAGGCTGTTACACAATTAGGATTGTTTTTTAGTTTTATATTAAATGGACCTTTTCATTTGATGCTTATTGACCAAAGGGATCAATAAGCATATTTTAGTGAATATGTACACTAGCAGTGTAGGCTAGAATATCGAGTTCCCAATATTCAACATTACCTGTAATACTTGATATGGTAATAATATGTCCTTACTATAATTATTATGTAGACATAGTTACTAGGGATATTGTTATTGGGTAAATATGTAACACTTCTTTCATTCTCTCTCCCCTATTAGAACTGTTAGTGGAGTTGGCTGAAAAATACTATTTTCTACCTGAAAAAGACATTTTAAGACAAGAAATAAGAGTACTTTCTGGGCCCAGCACACTTCCACCATACCTCTCTATTACCTAAGAATTATGAACATTTTAAAATGTTATGTAAACTGTATATAAGTTTATAGTAATTAACAAAATTGAAAAATAACATTAAGAAAGCTAAAACAGTGCTCACTTTGGCAGCACATAGACTAAAACTGGAACAACCCGGAGAAGATTAGCATGGCCCCTATATAAGGATGCCTTGCAAAGTCCCGAAGCACTCCCTATTTTTAAAAAAAAGACTAAAGCAAGCCGCTCTCAGTTTGCCTTTCTTAGTTCCAAGTTTTAGCCTGCCACTGCTATTGTAAAATATTTTACAGTTATTTGCATTCTTTATAGAGAGAAGGCAAAGTGGAAGCAGGGATCATGACGGCCACATCATGGTTGAAAGAGGAGCCTCTGGCACACAAACAAGAAACGGTAAGCAATTTTTGAATCTGTAGCCTAGGACTCCTAGAAAACATGTATTGGGACAATTTTAAGTTACTTTTCCTTTATCTTCATTTTTCAATGTGTAAAGAAAAAGGTTTTTAAAAAAGTCAAGGACGCAAAGTCAGAGGACTGTCAGTTAAATGAACAATTTAGGCTAATTTCACATTTCATATCATAAGAACAAAGTCAAGAGCAATCAGCAGTCATTTACATCCAAACTGGAATTTTAACTATACCAAACTATAAATCCAAAATTAAATACACTGTATGGGTGAACAATCCAACCTAACTAAACAGTTTTTCACTAACCAAAAACTTAAATGGAAAGATAGTAACCAGTGTGTGTTTAAGATTATTAAATCCAAACATCAGAATTATTCTCTGACTCAAACTTATTTTATTTTATTTGAGTCCTTGATCTTGTGATCTTTTTGGTAGTTGGTCTTCTCACATACTACAAAATCTATATTGTCATCATAAGGCCTCTTTAAAAGTAAAGAATCTACATGTGGAAGGTTTTTGTTGTCATTTTTGCTGGGTTTTTTTTTATTGCTTTTAGAGATTTAACTATACATTTAAACTAGCTTAATGATTTGGAACATGGAGTGAATATTTTTCTAACTTTATAGAAATACATGAGTAGCAATGTTGGCAGAAGTATTACTGGATTAAAAAAAAAAAGTATTACTGGATAATACTTTACCCAAATCTTTTCCTAATAAAGCCTTGGTCTTAAGAAACTAAAGGATATATTTAGCTCTAATTGATGTAAAAAGAATAAATACTGGATTTAAATTTGTAGCAAATTTTACTTTAGAATATCTAAAATATTTTCTTTATTTCTGATGGTCAGGATTCTATCAAATATTATTCTTATTTTTAATCTATTAGAACCATTTTCCAGTTGTGAATTCTTTACTTGGTTAATGCCTACAAATTTGGTTTTTTTCTTAAAGTGTGGTTGGAAATATGTGCTGGACTACAGTAAGGAAGTTGTGTACTTTTCATTTCTAGACCAGAATCAGTCCCTACACTTTAGAAGCTGACTGCTCTGCTCTGTGTTCTCCTTACACATAAATTGATTACGTGGTATTCTGTTTAAACTTCTAGTTATTTTGGAAGGTTATTCAACTTGGAAAAAACAGTGTACTAGACTGTAATATTGAATCCTTTACATTTGTTTATAAAATGCTGTACTTTCAGAAAATGCCAAATGATATATTAGTTATCTGCCCAAATTTAATTCCCTTCCAGTGTGATAGATTTGATATTATCTTGACATTTTCTAATGTTTCTGTTACTGCTTCTTACATAGTCTAGAGAGACTGACTGTCAAGAACACAGAAGTCTAGAACAACCTGCTGAGTTGCCAACAAATGAAGCATGTGATCTCTGCAGTGATTTTAGTGATGATGAATCAGTGGGAAGCTCAAGAACAAAGACTGCTAAAAACAAAGCATCTGACTCAAGTAAAGCTTCGGGTTCTCCTGGACAGCTTACCCTACTCCACTGTGGTTTCTCTAAATTGTTTGAAACAAAATACAAAGCAGTTGATGATAGTGATGGAAATACTGCCTCTGATGATGAAAGCTCTGATGAACAGCCCATGTGTCTTTCAACAGAAGCCAAAGATATTGGTTATCAGAAATGTCATGACTCTCTTGGTACTTCAAAACACCAGAAATTAGCGAGTATCCTAAATCCAAATGAAAAATGTATTTTTGATAAAAGTGAGAAAATTTTCAAACAAAATATTTCTTCAGAGTCTGGTGATGAGAAACATTTTAAAAATACAACTGACCACCATTGCACTTTACCAAATGTCACAGAATCAGAAGATAGTGATGTCATCTTTCCTACACAATATACGACTCAGAGATGCCCTAAGAATGGTATAAAGTTTAAGCCACTTGTGGATGGACCTCAAGATTCTGAAACAGATAATCCTGTAAAAATAAGAAATAATGGTGATGATAGAAAGACTGATGTCAAAGAAAATAGACAAATTTCAAAACAATTAAATCCTGAGAACATGACCCTGAAATCTATTATGAAAAGAAAAGGCAGTAGTGATATTAGTGATGAGTCTGATGACATTGAAATTTCCTCTGAGTCAAGAGTAAGAAAGCGAAGAACTACCAGTTCTTTGAGGTTTAAGAGAAAAAAGGAAAATAAAAAGGAACCTCTCACTTTTCCTAAAACAATGAAGAAAACAAATCAACTGTATGAAGCAAATGGAGATTGTAACTCTCAGGCTATTGATGATTTTTCATCCTCAGATGATGATATAACTGTTCGCCACATCAGTTTCTCTAAACAGAGCCATCCACCAAAAACTATAAAAGATAGAATCAGTTTCTCTTCAAAATTGCCTAACCATAAGGAAAATGGCACTTGTATGCCAAGAAAATCAATGAAATTTTCAAATGAGAAAATTGTCAATCAAGAGCAGGTGTATGAGTCAATGGATAAATTTTTAGGTAACTATAGATATATTTTGAAAACTTTATGTTACATTATTTGTTTTGTGCATTCAGATAGCTCTGTAAGATACAGATGCTTGAATTGGCTTGTAAAATAGTTCTATAGTCAAGATGCTACATTGAGGCACAAATGAGGAAGTGGGTGGAAGGTAGGTAAAGGGAAGACCACCTAGGTCAACATAGTGAACTTGTTATCCACCCCAGAACCCGCTCCACGTACCCCATCTGAGTCACAGCCCCCACCAGACTTCATTTAGTTTTGACCTATAGGTAACTTTAAATTTAATGGTCCTCTTCCGTCCTTATGTGAGTGTTTCACCAGTCTGTGTGATTGTCAGAAGCTTATTTTCTAGTAGATCCCTCAAGAAGTGCTCCTGAGCATAACACTCCCTGAGATTCCTGTTGGTAACAGTCTGTGCCCTTTATACTTAAAAGTCATTTTGCCAGATATAAAAATCATTGACTCACACTTTCTTTTCTTAAGTATTTTAAATATGAGGCTTCATTTTCTTTTGGCATAAAGTGTTGTATTACATGTTCTTTTCCTTCCCCTGTGATGTCCAAAGAATTTCTTTTCTTTTCATTTTTGTCCAGTAAATGCACTACATTGTGTTTGAACGTTTGTCTTAGTTTGACTTGCTTTAACAAACTCCTGTGGACTGCATGGCTTAAACATTTATTTCTCATAGTTCTAGAGACTGGAAGTCCAAGATCAGGATGCCAACATAGTTGGGTTCTTGGTTAGGGCCTCATCCTGGCCTACAGAAGGCTGCTGTCTTGCTGTGTCCTCACATGGTGGAGACAGGAATCACCTCTCTTGGGCGCCTGGGTGGCTCAGTCCATTAAGTGTCTGCCTTCGGCTCAAGTCATGACCCTGGAGTCCTAGTACCAATCCCCACATTGGGCTCCCTGCTCAATGGGGAGTCTGCTTCTCCCTCTGGCCCTCTCCCCTCTCATGCTCTCTCTCTCACTCACTCTTTCTCTCTCAAAATAAAAAAGAAAGAAAGAAAGAATCTCTCTTGGGTCTCTTTTTTTAAGGGCAGTAGTCCCATTCTTTAGAACTTCACCTTCATGACCTAATTATCTCCCGTATCCTAACCTTCAAATACCATCTCACTAGGGGTTAGGGCTTGAACATACAAATTTTGGAGGGACACAAACATTCAGCCCATACCAGTGTTGGTTATTCTGGGTCAGTAGTGTCATAATAGAGTTTCAACTCGGTTTTTCTTTTGGGAAAGCATTCTTGTACTAGTATTTTTAGTTACTTTTCGTATCCCTTTGCTTTGGTTTTCTTCTTCAGAGACTCCTATTACTCAAATATTCAGTTTTCTTTGCCTGTCTTCAGTATTTGTCACGTTGTCTCAAATCTTTTATCTTTTCCATTTCTTTTTGCTTTTTAAAAATATCCTTCCATTTTTCTTAAAGCATTAGTTATTGTTTGTTCCCTCTTATGTTCCTGCAGTTTAGTCTTCATTTTTGAATTTTTTTTAAATTTCCAAAATTTTCCTGAGTCCTGTCCATCCATTTCTGAGTTACTCTAATTCTGACTGATGTCAGAATTAGTATCTTACCATTTTCTTAATGTTTTTTACCTCATTTTGAAATCAGTTACAATTTTAATCTGCTTTGTGAGCACATGTTTATGGCATATTTTCATTCTGCTGCTTATCCTTTCTTCTCATAATAATTTTTATGAGATTGACCCTCTTGCTCATTCTTATAGAAATTATTTTCCCTGAATTTTTTAAGTGAGGCAAAGTTTAGGGTATTTTTTTACTAAGTTCACAAAGATCCGTATCTGTTTTTTTGCACAGTGTTCAAAACTATTGTGGGATTTCCTGCCTCTATCTGTACCCACTGCTTTGCTTTAGACCTGCTCTTTCCCTCATTCCCAATCTTCCTATCCTGTTCTTTTTGACTCCCTCCCAGCAGTTTTTCTTCATCATGTGGCCCTGACTTGGGAGCCCCAGTGGATCAGTTTGGAGAGTTCCTAAGAGCTAGTTTGTTTTGTTCTCTCAGACCTTCTTATTGTAAGCCCCCTGCACCCACTTAGCTTTGGAGGACGGAAAACCTTCCCAAATTTAGCTGCTCATCTCCAAGTGGCCCACTATGCTCTCCAGGACATACTTGTCGACTGTTCTAGGCTCTTCTGTTCTCAGATCCATCAGATGCCACCTTGTTGCTCCCTTGTTGCACCCATGCCGTGCACAGTGTGCTATTGGTGGACTGTCCCCATCTATTTGTATTTTAGGATGTCTTATTATCTTAATTTGTTGTATGTGTTGTCCCGTGACCTTTCGTTTTGCTCACTAATCGCTCGCTATTTTTTGTAGGGAATCAGAGATTGAAAAATCGCTTCCCCTGCTACCAGCTACCACCATCTGCTGAGAATCTGTTTAGTTATTTTAAGAGTTAGCATCATTTCTAAAAGTATCTGACTCATTCCTGAGGGGGAAAAAAATAAAAGAAAAAGAAAACTATGTGAAAGAAGCTGATGTATAAGTGAGCATAGTTTGATATAGGAACTTTAATCATTGTGTTTGACTTATTTACATATAAAGTTTTCTTTTGTAGTTATTCAAAAGTTCATTATGATATATATTTTGATACCCTTGTAACTCAGTGCTGGACTATCCTTTGGTTTGATTTAGGTTTGAGAAATTGTTGCATAAACTGTTCTTTAAAAGATCAGCTGAGCTGTTTTTGTTTTTTACTGTGTAAAAGATGTCAGTGGTGTGGAACTAAAGCTATTTTGAATAATACATAAAACATGTCATCAAAATTAAGAAAAATCTGACTGAATTTTCTGCCAGAAGAATCCTTGATCCTTCTAAAGGTTTAAAACTTTTGCCTTGCACACTACTTGGCATTTTGAGATTTAAGGAGAATATTATCTTGCTTGTTCTTTTTGTTACTTAATATTTGTTTTCTCACGATTATCAGTTTTGGTTGAGAGAGGTTCAGGACTGAAACAGCACAAGTGTTGAAGGTCATAATAATTAAGGTTCATTGCTAGAGATGTTTGAGGGAGCTTTTACAGACCTCAGTTCTAGCCTTCTCTTTTATGGCCACAATTTAAAAGTAAATTATAGGTGCCTAGAAGCAAAGCAATAAAAAATGTAGCTATTTTTTAGACTTCTTTCAGATAAAAACTGTAAGTTAATTTTTTTCATTTCCTAAAAAGCTCCCAGTCTTGATGTTCTCTGGGCATATGTACAAAAAAGACAAAATACAAACAGTAAAATTGAACAAAGCCAACCAAACGAAACTCCCCGGTCATAAACCCCAGCTCCCACTCCATTGTTGTAATCAAGTACATGTTTAAAGGAACAGATAGATGAGGTCAGCACTGCTGTTTAAATTAGTAGACAAATTTTTTTAAATCAATAGGAACACAAATCCATAGAGATGACTCTTCACCGTGACTTTTTTCTTAGCCAAAACCCTCATTTCAGCTTGAAATCTAAAGGTTGATATCCAATCTCAGAAATTCTCATATTGATGAGAAGGAAAAGTCATTTCCAAGTTAACCTAGACCAATATGTTTGAATTCTTTTCATTTTTTTTTAAATAGAATATTATGATGTTAACATTCAAACTCAATGTTTTTCTTGAGGATTAAGAATAAAGCATAACTTCTTTTTTAGTATATTGCTGATAATTTTTAAAGTATACATGGAACCCTATTGCTTGACAACGAAACATCACTTAATAAACACCAATTGCCTCCCAGATGGTGTTCAGGAAGTGGCTTATATTCACTCCAACCAGACTGTGATTGGATCCAGCAAAGCTGAAAATCACATGAGCCGATGGGCAGCATGGGATGTGTTTGAATTGAAGCAGTTTTCCCAGCTTCCCGCCAATGTAGCTGTTTGCACTTCTAAGGTAAGAGAACACAGGGTCCTGACATCTTTAGTATTTAGAAGTTACTCAATAGGATCTTCTCTAAATACTTCCTCAAAAAAAGTGGCTACTGAGACTATAAGTGACATACAAACAAGTATAAAAAACAGAATGCCATTTGGAGCACTGTTGTGCTAAAATGTTTTATATTAAAAGACACATCTATATTTAAATGCCTAATAGTGTTGAGTTGCTTAATAATTCCTCTTAATAAAAGTTTGCCAAAAAATGAGAAATCTGAGGGAATCATTCAGTTAAATCAGAATCAAAACCACTTACACTGATACAGAAAAGGGAAGTGTATGATTAGATTTCCTTCAGAATTTTTCATCTAACATGAAGGCATGCACAAAAATTAACTTCATATAGAATTTATATATGTATGTGTATATACATATGTATATATATATATATATATATTTTTTTTTTTTTTTTTGAGAGAGAGTATGCATGGGGACGAGTAGGGGTTGGGGGCTGAGGGACAGAGGGAGAGAAAGAGAGAGAATCTTCAACAGACTCTACACCCAGCATGGAGTCCAATGTGGGGCTCTGTCTCATGATCCTGAAATCATGACCTGAGGCAAAATCAAGAGCTGGACACTTAACCCACTGAGCCACTGAGATGCCCCTAGAATTTATATTTTTAAAAAGGATTCATATAATGTTATAAGTAATAAGTAGATCCTCTATGCTTTTCTTATTTAAAATTGCTATTATATAAAAATAAGGATTTATGTTAATGTGGTATTTTATTTACACATAGTCACTTTCATCAAATGTTTTCAAAAATGTTTTCTTCTCTTTGGCTTATTATTCTTTATTCCTAAGAGCTGATTGTCTGAGAAGTTTTTCTATCACTTTATGTGTAGGAGTTAAAAACGGGTACTGTATATAACAATGATACTTTGTTTCTAGTTAGTACTACTTTTTTAAGAATGAAGCGAGGGAAATGCCTTTGTACTGTCAAGCTGTCTTTATTTATTTGTACCTCCTCTGGTTCCACAAAGGATTTGGATTGTCCTAACAATAAAATCAGAATACAAAATGAAATTCAAAAACAAGGAAAATATAAATTAAACTAGAAGTTCAGGACTGAGAGAAAGTTAAATGCAAATATATAAGACATAATGTTCTTAGCCAGATATTTTTTTAAATGACAAGTTTGAGTTTCCTGGTAGACAAAACAAAGGAAGTAAACAATTTATTTAGTGTTTTCTCAACTACCGCATTTGGAAATGTGTGTGGGCACTTTGGGTGGTCACAGTGACTGAGTGCCCGAGTGGCATTAATGTCTGAAGGCCAGGGAGACTAAATGGCTGTCATGGGGGAGGGGGGACCATCCCACATGCCAAGAATTGTTCTGCTCAAAATGCCATAACACCCCGCTGAGAAGCACTGAGCTAAATTGTTGTCCTTAAGGAAAAGAAAAAGAAAAAAAAAATGCTGGCTCTTCTAAGGAGGAAGAAAGCTCTTCCTAGCACTTAATTTGAGGGAAATTTGTCACCTGGGATTTTAAATGGTGACTACCGAATGATCTAGTGAGCAGTCAGTTGTCTGATAATATCCTTAGAGTAAATGAAATAATGGACTTTGAAAGGCTGTGCTTTTAGCATTTTTCATTCTAATCCAAAGGCACAATGCCACAATATAACACATGAAAGTATGCTGCCTTTTTAATATATTCTCATTTGATCTAGGAATATACCATATCTCAACCAACACTGTAGAGAGCTATTTCTATAGCTGGTCTACCTTGTAAACGAGCTATCTGAAAAAGGTAAACAGAAATATGCTGGGTTTGCCAGAAATTTGCTATATTAGAAAGAAGAGCCTATCAGAATCTCTTAAATAGACAACAAATTTTTTCTTAGGGTTGTATTTTTTCAACCATACCCCCCTTTTTTTTTAACCATGCCCTTATCCAAACAAACAAATTTTAATGTGAAAACATCAGCTAATTTGGCAAACCCCTGTAGTAGATGTTAATGAAATCATTTAACTGGATATTGGTTGTTGGTTTATTTAAATATTTCTCAGAAAACAAATTTGCAGTCTCATGTAATTCTTTCCAAAGCGGATCTGAGAAGCAACCACCTAAATATAAAAGAAATAAAGGTCCCTTCGAAACCTTCTTAAGGCAAGTTGTAAAAAATTAAAATGGTAGAAATACACTTTGCCCTTAATTAGGCCAAACAGGGGCAAGGGAGTTCCTTTATCCTTACGTTAGCAATCCCAGTAGTTCTCAATCTTTTTTAGCCCTAACATTCTTGAGGTAGACAGCACAATCTTGTCAGAAATTTTGTCTCTTCAGTGATTTTTGGAGTGAGGGACATTTCTTACCAAGAGCCAAGTTGAAATATTCATCCCCTAAGATTTCTAAAATGCCCTTTGAGGCTGTATGTCTCCCCATCACACACAGACCAACTTAGTAAACTTTTTTGCAGGGTGTATGAAGAAATGTGTTGTTTAATGACTAAATCATAGTGGGTGTAAAATATTCAGGCAAGTTTTAAAGCCACTAAGCAGGAGGTCCCATCCCATGCCACCAGTGCTAGCAGGCCAAGAACAGCCTGTACAAACATGCTCATCTCAGCAGCCAACCTCTTTAAATCAATACTTGATACAGCAAAATTCCAACAGAATAAGATTCAGTCCCTCAGATTTTACCTCTACCATTTAATACATCAGGTTAATAATACCGCTATAATTTCTTGAAAGTTGTACTCTATTACCTATATACAAAAGTCACTTGGGGACAGTACATGACTTAGGATTAAAAAAGAAAATTCTTACTTGTTATAAGAAAATCAGAACTACAACTCCTGAGACATGTCTCACGCTTTCCTCCTTTTAGTTTGGTTAGTAATAAAGGCCTTATGTAATGAGTTTCATTTTCAATTTGTTGAACTCTGTAATCTTCCAGGAGCCAAAGTTATAACTAGCCTATGGCGTGAACTCTATTCAGAATGTCATAGTTTAGATTGTAGCTCTACTTCATACTTCCTGTGTGACCCTGAGAAAGGCACTTACCTTCTCTGTGCTTCAATTTCTTTGTGTTTAAAATACAAAATAATTATATTTCTTACCTCAAAAAGTTGTTGTGAAAACTAAATGTGGTAAAACACCCTGGACGGTACCTGACACAAAGTAAGCACTCAGTGAGAAATAGGTATTGTCATCACTGGGTAAGACTAATGTCCAGTCTCTAATTCCCCTGGAAGGGAGGTATCAATGAGGAAAAATAATCCATAAATAGCTGTATGCAACCATATTTAATTATAAATAAAAGAATGGGTAATATTAGCAAATCTGGGGCTTTAGACTCCCTTAAAAAGAAAAACAAGAATATTCATGGTAGAATATCCTTCAGAAGTTTATATGTGACTACTGAGATTTTGCTTATGAAAACAGAAAGCCATCAGTACTTTATAATTTATATTAGTTTATTCTAAATATTCTGTATTAGAATTGGAGATATTAGTAACTTTCCTGCGTAAAGCTTAGATTTACTTTATTTTGATTCACTGATTGAAGTGACTGCTTTTAATTCAAGATATCTCTAAAGCTGCTGACATTCAAATGAGTGAGACATCACTCTGCCATCAGACTAGCCCTTCATATTATCTCTGCATATCATATTCTTGGTTCTCATCATTATAAATCTTCTGGAAACTAAATACCACCTCAGTAAGGTCAGGGAGATGGAACTATGGTAGTACCCTTTTTCTCTTTTTACTAAAACTATTTATAAAGATGGTTAAATTAGGATATCTGGAGAGACTTTTTAAAATAATATTACTTTACATAGATGAGATATTGATGACATTTCAGAGTCATCTCGCAGAAGTTCCAAGTAAAAAAATTCATAATCACCAATTTCATCATATCTGGTCAAAATTACTTAAACACCTTTAATGAGTAAATCACTGAAACACACCATCATCTTTGGTTAGAGATAATGTATGTCACTCAGTGAGAGAACTGTAGAGCGGTGGTGGTGATAGCATGTAGTGGCAATAGTGAATTTGCAGCTTTCAAAAAAATTGAAAGTTGTTATGGGAAGAAAGGAGAATAAACTAAGGTAAAGGAAAACAAAGCAAAAGAGGCTCAGCCATAGTGTCAGAAAATATCTGCAAACCTCTTGCTTCTAAAGTCTCCAGAAATCCCCAGACCTCCCACCTACAGTACAGTATCTTTCATCTTGGGGCTCACATCCAGAATCTTTATTACTGAGAATTCTTCTGAGTGCTTCTTGTCTGTCACCAAAGTTTTATTAGAGACCTTTATTTGTGTTTGAAAAGATTGTGTGTGCGTGTGTGTGTGCATATGCTTGCGTGTGGTCTGTGTGTGTGTGTCTGTGTGTCTGCAGCCAGATGCAGATGTGTTGTCTCACTTCCTAAGAAAATGAAACAAATCCTATTTACTTGTATGAAGGCAACACACATTTAACAGTAGTCACAATATGCAAGTGTTTCACTCTCCAAGGAATACTATAGTTGAGTGTAAGTAGGAGCTTTTAACTAAATTGCAAAGGAGTATACTAACTAAATGGAAAAGTTACAAAAAAGAAGTAATGTACACCACAATCCTAGATGAACTCCTATGATCCTTTTAGAGCTTCTCAGTCCTTTTGATGTAATTATTGATAACCAAAATGACAAGAGCTCAGAACCTGCTTTTCAAATTCAACCATATATTAGAAGGTCTCAAATATACTATCTTTTCCGTGTTTCTTATAGTTCAGACTTTTATAAATCAGTTTCAACTTATATATTATATAGATGTCTTGAATGAAAACCTGTCTCTCCTAAAATAAATTTCTAATCAAACTTGGTTATTTAGTAATACAAACTATATAAAATAAGAACTCGTTTTGTCTTAAGTTTAGATATTTTAGAGCCGTTTCTGAAGACAGCTTATCTTAAAAGATGAGATGTCTGATAACAAGAGGGAAAATGTGGGTGGTTTCGGTTTAAACTCAG